ATCGCTCGCCAATACAGGCCATCGCTCCATGAATGCATGCAACATTGACATGCAACAACTTAATTTACATTGATCATTCATACTCATCAATGTCTCACCAATACAAGCCATCTTCATTATCATTATCGTGCAATACATCATACAAAATTCTTCGTACACCGTTTATACATACGAATACATCCCATCGCAACATTTTGTATTACAACACATACAACATACACACACATTAAAAATTATTCAAATAAAATATTAGTATAATATCATCAAAATTATTACTACATTGTAGAAAATATTTTTAGCTTTCTAACGGTCCAACCAGCGCGTCAAACAGACACCCGAGTCAAAAGTTATGGAGTTTTCAAGTTTTCAAAATGTTGTCAAACAGTGGGCAATCGATTGCACTAACACAACAATCGATTGCACCCTGTTCCAGAGGCCAAAAATCACGTTTTTTAAGTAGTGCAATCGATTGCTCTCCTGCTACAATCGATTGCTTACTGAAACAGAAGCAAAAATCCCAATTTTTTAAGCAGTGCAATCGATTGCTCTACTGTTACAATCGATTGCACCCTGTGAAAAACAGTTTTATGGTTTCTGTAAGGTACAATACGAAAATCCTTTTATCTCAACCCCAACAACACAAACCTCATGAAATAACACACAATACAATATCCAATTATCATGGCTATCAACATACATTAATTACCACACATATATAACATCAATTATACACATAATACATCAAAATCAATCATCAAAGAGTAAAACCCAAAAACAACCACATAGGGAGAAATCAACAACATACAACCATAGAACCTAAACTATATCACAATCCATCATTATTCAAACCCTTATAGATTTATAATCCACCTTACAATTTATCATAAGCCCCATTATAGGATAAGGAACCCCATCCTTACTTGGTTTGGTTTGAAGACAACTCTATGGGTCTCCGATTGAATTTCCTCTTGGCCTCTTTGGTTCAATTTCACGTATCCCTCTTCTTCTCCAAAAACCCTGTCTTCCTCTTCTTACTGATAACTAACTTCTATTCCTCTCTTATTTCTAATAATAACATAATATTATTTTATTAGTCAAAATAAATCTAATTGGGCATGAATGCTACACCCCGCTCTTCCTCTCTTCCTCCAATAAATTAATTCTATGATATTTCTACCACTTAATCAATCCACCACTTAAATAATATTTCATTAATCCCAACATAAGAATTATTATTAATCAAATAATTAATTAATTGATAATAATCCAACAACTTTTACCAATACTTCTTAACATCTCGCAACATCACAAATAATCCAAAAATATAATTTAATTAAATAATTAATTAAATTAACGGACATCACAAAAAGGGAATGAGACAACATTATAAATGAATTCTGATATCTCTAAAGGAAACACTAAAATGAACATTGATATCTTTAAAGGAAAAATATCCCGATTTAGAAGAGGAAACAAATATAGTATACCTGACAAATGGAATTGACAACTTTCCTCTAGGCTCTTGAATTTTCTGTACTACTATCTCTATTTCTCGCTTTCAATCAACTCCAATAACTTGTTTGGATGGAAACTTCATTAGTCATTCACGGCTCTACATGTCGATTCTGTTGGGGAGTCTGGGAGAGTCGGGAGCACTGACAGGACGAATACTCCAGGATCACAAGAGAGGGAGACACCACATCTCAACCCAAAACCTTAAGGTGTTAGGTAAATGGATCATCTCTCTTATAAGTCCAACATCCCACCCATTCATAGGGCAATATGGGACTTTAACCACTCACACTTGCACCCAATATTCTCCACCACAAGTGTGAGTCCCCTTATCCTATAACAAGATCCAACACCGGATCCAGCTTCCTCTCTTCCACCAAGCTGAACTACGACTCTGATACCACTGTTGGGGAGTCCGGGAGAGTCAGGAGCACCAATGAGAATAATGCTCTAGGACCACAAGAGAGGGAGACGCCACATTTTAACCCAAAACCTTAAGGTTTTAGGTAAATGAGTCATCTCTCATATAAATCCAACATCTCATCCATTCATAAAGAGTACAATCACTTGAAAATAATACATTCACCTTGATTGAAAATAATACATTAACTTTCATTGTCTTCACCGACAATCATACTCCACCATAAAGAGTACAGTCACTTGAAGCTACACCACTCCAAGAATTGTCACATTGTCTTTACCAAAAATCATAGTTTTAAAACTATCATACTCTCCCATGAAAAATATATTTCACTTGAAGATAAACCACTTCAATAATTTCACATTGTCATCACTGACAATCATATACTTTATCATGAAGAATAAATTCCACTTGAAGGTAAACCACTCCAAGAAGTTCACATGTCAAAAATTAGGTTGAAAACTTATGGTGCAACCTCCTTGTTAGCAGGAAGCTCTTCAACCACCGATATAACCTTGAACCTTGTGTAATATTAATTGTATTACCACATCTTTAACTTGAACTTTGCACAAGTCAAAAACAATTCTTCCATCAATTTTCTCTAACCCAAACTACACAGCGGAACTTGTGACTGCAGCTCAACAACTCTTTCATAATACTACCCTTCTTTTCTGATATGGAAGATCAGACAAAACTGCAACCACAGAGCATACTAAGAGCTCCTATCCCCGGATTGAACCAAAAGCTCTGATACCAATTGTTGGAAAAAACAAACCATAGAGAAAAAAGAGGAACACAATAACAACACAAGAGATTAACGTGGAAACTCCAAAACTAGAGAAAAAACCATGGTCTTTGTCAATAGACAACCAGAGAATAACACTATGTGAAAATTGTTACAACACATAATATACCCTCAATTAACCCAGGCCCTAAGTACACCCACACCCTCCAAAAACAAATATTTAACTACATCTCACAACATTCTTAATACAAGAGTATAAGAGAACAAAGAAAGTCAAATATAAGCTTAAAGTGCTTTTGACTGGTGCATCTTATAAGGAAAAACTTGAATCTTATATATAGCCTTGGATTCTCTCTTCCATCACTAAACTAAGTGATATGAGACTTAAAAAACTTTAATCCTATATATAGTTTTGGACTCCCTCTTCCTTCACAAAAATAAGCGATGTGAGACTTATTCAACATGTATATTTTCAACCAACCCCAACAGATTCTTTATTCTTGAAGATTTTCTGTGATACCAAATCAATGGTTTAACATCATGGTCAGATTTATCAAACAAAATTCACAGCTAACACAATAACAAAATCAACCCTCACCCTTGTTTGATAACCATCAAAGACCATAATTACATCTTGCAAGTTCACACGGATTCCATCTTCCAAACCGAAGCACATAAAAACTGCATCCTCATCGAATCCAGAAAAGTACCTTTACATAACCACCAGCCTGAATCATAAAATCCTTAATCACTCAGTGAAATCGACAATCCTTGTAACCAATAGGAACTCCTGTTTTCTTGCCAATAAAATCGTATCATAAAATGAGACAATTGTATTTTAATGAGAAATATCACAATTTTTACAATCATGGCCCCCATACAGAAAAAAAAGCAAGAAGGATTTTCACGATTGGTGAGCTCAACTCAAACCTTTATCACAATCCCACCATTACACTTATCAAGATTATCAGTTTGTCGTCATCAACAGAAGTGGTGGAGAAAGAGGGATACCTGAAATTCTCTGCGGTTTTGGGACAATATCAGCGAAGAGTTCCATTTTAATTCTACTGGCGGGTATGTTACAAATGGTAACATTGAAGAAGACGATTGGGTTTTTAGGAAGAGTGAACAATGTAGGGTTTAAAATGTATTGTTGCATATTAATATGGTGTACTTACAAAGTTAATGTTTGTGAATCCAGGTTTTTAGGGTGACTCGAGTGAATCTTGGCAACAGAAACGGCAGAGTGAAATATTGTGAATCAATTTTACATGCGCAATTTCTCAACTAAAAAAAATATCGGCTGCCAAATACAATTTACAATGACTGATATGATTATATTCAATTAATTAATAATGGAATTAAAATAATATAAAATGCAACAAAAATTCATAGTGTGCCACATCAGCCGCATTTAATATCAAATCACTATAAATCAAGCATTGCGCAAAAAGTCAATTTTATCTCTTGTAATTAGATTAGATTAAATATTTAATGAGAGAGTTTATCATATAATTTTCAAATACTTTACTTTTTATATATTTATAATAGATTATTTGGATTTCATTTCGTTCAATCAAAAACAATATAAAATAATTTTATACGGTCATTCAATAGAAATTTATCATCAAGCAAAATCATATAATTAATTTAAAATTTTCAATATAATATGTCAGGATATATCGTGATTGATATTTAGTGTCCATATCTCATTTTCTCTTCAATCAATTACTACTAGTTTTATTCTTTTTATTCTTTTTTATTCTTTTTTTTATATTTTTTTATTTTACTTTTATTCTTTTTCAATTTAGACGAATAAACAATTTATCCTACTTCGTCTTAAAATATTCAAATAAAGGAATTTGATCTTTAATCTACGTCCACATTTCACCTAACTTTATTTCGAAATAAAATTTATTATAGTCACTTTTATCACACATTCACACAAGCAATTGATCAATAACCATTTGATCACGATCTGACGCTTCATAAAAATAGGCTTATTTTTTGTAATATAATTTTTAAATCTATAATTATTAATCAGAACCTTCCGATTTTAATCGAACAATCACAGACCATAAATGCGTGACTGTGACAAATTTCCTTACGATAGTGAGGATAGTACGATCTGTCACTGTAGTCAGAGCCAACTTTTTGGTGAAAGCCCTTTTCAATAGCCAGGCTTTGTATTTATTAATGGTGCCATCATAACCCATTTGCGCCCAATGGGCTTTTGGTGTTTGGGAGGCTCAACTAGAGTTCAGGTTCTTTTTTTCTCTAGGGGCTGCATATTCATCTTTCATTACAATAATCCAGCTCTCATCACCAAGTGCTTGGGAAACAGTATACCACATGGGTTAGTCTGATGCCATATTTGGCTTTGGTATGCGTGAGATGAGCGTTATGGATACGACGAGGTAGTTGCACTGGTGTAGGGTTTTGCTTAAGATTGGACGGGCCAGAGTTGGATGTTGCTACTGCTAGTGTAAGGCAGTAATTAGGGCTTGAGCTAGTGGTTGGGGCAAGAATGTTAGGTTTCAGAATCTTGAGTAGTGGTGGCTGAAGGTGTAGAGTAACCTGGTGAAGGTGTGGTGTTTTGGAAGAGTTGTGTTTGTGAGGAAGGAGCAGGCTGAGGGATGTGGAATAGCACAGGAAAACACACTCTTGAGATCTATAATCAAGTTTTTCAGAGTTGTAGGGACAAAGGAAAGCTTTGTGGGCTGTGACTACGATGTCGTATTCTTCTGGAAGATCTTCAAGAACAATGTCCATGAGATTGTGATGAGGAACAGGATCAGCAATTGATTGAACCGACTCTGTAATTTATCGATTATGCAGAAGGAGTTCCTCGATTGTGCACAAACCTTTGGTCAAACTTTGCAATATTAGAGATAGAAATTTATAAATTTACTTATAATAAATTTTCCTGTTATTATATGTTAGGATTTGGATCTAGTCATTTAGTTCTTAACAGAAACTTTTGTCACATTATACAGGGAGTGAGGGAAAGAAAGAAGACTTGAGACACAACATTGTTTCAATTTCCAGTACTGCTTGTGTTTGATATGTTAAAAAGAGTTCTAATTTCTAATAGGTCATTGATTCTCACACTTTATTTATGTGACATTACTGTTCTTCACACATATGTATATGAAATGAAAGAATACACACATATGTATATAGAAAAAGTAGCTACTACTATCAATGTATCTAATCCATATCAATATATCTAGTTCATATGGACACAAATGACATTCGAATCAAAAACCACTTATATATGTTGCGATTCAAATCAATTGATTTTTTTATGTAATCAGTTCCATGATGTTTGCTTTACCTCCTCAACCAAATTCTCAACATAAATACTTTTGTTGCGATAGATCTTACCATTCCTTGCTCTCCAAAATATCCAAACACACGCTCTCCAAATAGCTTTCAATCTCCCCACATACTTCCTACCCATGGCTAACTAATGGTGGATCTTGAAGACAATTTTGAAAGGGTGCCAAAAACTATAATATATAACAATTATTTTAAAAAAATTAGCATAAGTTGTTAATTGAATTGGTGGTTAGTTCTAACTTCTACTCTTGTTAACGACACTTTTTGAAAAAATAATACTATAAAATTGGGAGAATCAAGAGTGGAAAAAGTAATCTTCACCTCGGTCATTTGAAGTCGAGTCGCATCAAATGATTTTAGCCGTGTTTAATCAACAAATTTCATCAAAATTAAAATTTAGAAATCTCAAATTTCTAAAATTTCAACATAAAAATGTCACCGCCATCACAATAATTGTATCCGCAAGTGGTAGTGTAGCATTGTGTTTCGTTGTTGGCTATGCTGGATTATAAATGTCGCAAAAAAGGGTGAGAATTGGTTGCACCGCATGTAATACTCGAAGTCTAAGAGAGCAAAGGTGGTCGCCACATCGGATGAGAGGGATCCTGAGGCTATGCAGGTATGAGACTGCATGGTTAAAGGAAGGTTTATGAAAATTAATTGGTACTACTTATACCAACAAGATGTATATTCTTTTCGGTAGCTTGTTCTATAAGAACTCCACAGTTAAGCGTGCTTGACTTGGAGAAGTATTGGGATGAGTAATCTTCTGGGAAATTTCTCGAAAAGCGTGTGAGTAAGGACAAATCATACTGAAAAGACCCGTGTTGGTTTGTGAGAGCCATACCTCTCCCAGTACGATGTGGTTCGAGGATGAACCATGCGGAAGTTGATGGGCATGTAACACTCGAGACCGAAAAGGGCGAGGAGTGGTTGCACCGCATGTAACATCTGAGGCCTAATAGGGCAAAGATGGTCGCCACATCGGAATGAGAGGGATCCCGAGACTATGTAGGTATGTGACTGCATGGTTGAAGGAAGACTTATGAAGATTAATTAGTACTACCTATACCAACAAGATGCATCTTCTTTTTGGTAGCTCGTTCCATAAGAACTCCACAGTTAAGCGTGCTTCTTTTCGGTAGCTCGTTCCATAAGAACTCCACAGTTAAGCGTGTTTGACTTGGAGTAGTATTGGGATATGTAACCTTCTGGGAAATTTCTCAGAAAGCGTGTGAGTGAGGACAAATCATGCTGAAAAGTACCGTGTTGATTTGTGGGGTCAGTCAAAAATTCTGAAAGTAGTTTGGGGCGTTACAAATTATTAAACATTAGAAGTTGTGGGATAATGTAAACTATTAGACATTCCATGATGGAATTGTTAGGTGAAAGGTTACCTATATTATTCGTATTATCACCATGTCAATATATGTATTGAATTGTATGATCGATTTTTGGGATATAGCATGGTGGCACTAAGATAGTGTTGATGTTTTTAGGACAATATTGTTGTATGATGTAATAATACAGACGATGTTCATGTCAGGAGACTCTTCATCCTTAAGCTATGTTGTTGTATCGTTTCCTATGGCAAGGACTCGAGGGTGAGTATATTTTTCCTTATGAAGAGAAATTAGAGAAGCGTTATTTATAGTGACTGAAAAGACCTCGTTGTGTTCCGGTTCAAGCGTGAACAATATCGTAAAGTAATAAATCTTGTATCACAGGGTGATGAGACAAGGGGAAAAATGGATATGTGCATTCATAACTTGGTAGTAATGCATCTTGTTGGACTGTTGTAGTTGACGATATATAATGTTGAATAGTAGTATTTGAAACATTTCCAAACATGATGTTGGAGCTGTAATGTGGGATGGAAGAGTCGTATTTGGAGTTGTTCGCAATAGGTAATTTTTTAGGACGAAAATCTTCTAAGTGGGGGAGAGTTGTAACACCCTAAAAATCTAGATTAATTATTTAATTAATTTAATATGAATATCGGTGATTATTGATAAATATATGAATCTTAGTGAATTAGTCGATGCAGTGTATTTGTATGAGTTGATAGATTTTATGATGTGATCTGAGGTGATGTGGTGTATTTACATGAATTGGTGGATTTTATGATGTGGTGAGATGTCTTTGTTGAAGACTAGATGTATTAGAATAATGAGAGTTGAGGTTATGGGAATGTATGGCTAAATGTGTATAAACATAGGGATGTGTAGTATAATATGAATTACTAGTATTATTTTATTATAATATTAGGATTACTATTATTATTTTATAATAATAATTAAATAATTAATTAAGTTAGAAGAGTTATAAAATTAATTGGGATATATTAGAGTAAGAAGAAGAGAAATCAATTTAGATTGTAGAAACAGAAAAGATGATCACGTAAGTTAGTTGACTCGTTTGGTTCCGGGAACTAATTTTCCATTAGCTGTATGCAGATATGACATGTATAACTGCTAGGATTGTTGACGATAATTGTCTTTCCTGAAAAGATAGCAGGGTTAATTGTATGCGATGCATGAAATGCATGGTGGGATGATGTTCTCAAAATAAGTGAGATTATGTTGTATGCGATATGTATGTGTATGTCATGATGTATGAACAAGAGATGCTATTGTGCCATATTCGAGTCTGGGAAAATAAATCCCTGACTGCTGCCTGAGAGTATTGGAAATAGCTTTCCTGACTGTTGTAGAAAACCGTAGTTCTTCTACTTCCACTGGGGATGGTGAACGAAGATGACTATGCTGGAGATTTGCTCCTTGTCTTACAGATATTCTGCCGGGGAAGAGACTCTGCTTGAGAATAACTCTGCGGGGAGCTAACTCTGTTGGAGGATGAACTTCCATAGCTGAAGGGATAAACTCTGTCGGGGATTAGGCTTTTGTATTCAGAGAAATAAACCTTGTTTGGGAGAAAACTTTATGAGCTGCTTGGATTATGAAATTCGGCTGGGGAATATAGATGTCAGTTTTCTGAAGGGACCTGGCTGGGGAGAGTAACTCCCGTTTGGGGAAGCCGATGTCAATGCTTTGATTACCTCTAGTCTGTGGGGAGTACATATGTCACGAAGTCGTATGTACTGATGACTTTGTTTCAAAGCTGTCTCTGCCCTGGTACCTGTTGGACAGAGTAACTGTCGGGTTTGACATTTTTAGTTTTGCCCCTATTTCTTAAGTTACGAGCAATTGTATTTCTGTTTCTCATGTGAATATTTGTGAACAACAATCATGTTCAAATTCATATGTCAAGAATAAATCATTGGACGTTTTTGCGAAACAAAACAGGAAAAGAAAAAACAAATGGTTTTGTAAAAATTACTTGTATTAATTTTCGAAGTTGGCCTATAACAGGCGTTTTTTGTACAAGGAAGCTGACGCTCTAGTAAGAGAACGCCACCGTAAAAATGGAAGCTATACAATATTGTGTACAACAAAAAGAAAACAGCTATGTGCAACAATCTCATTGAGTTTTAATTCTGCTATTGCCGCTATGTCTTCGAGCGTCTCATCACTTTGCTGCTTGTCCAAAGCTAATTAGATTGATTGGTGTCGTTCGAGCATGATAGTTGATACTGAGGTCTGATCACAAGGTGATCCAATGGGACATAGTGATATGCTTTACATCCCTAACTTTTGCCTGGACTGCCCTTTCGGGTTTTCAGTCCACCGGGATACCCCTTTTTGTCCAAGCCGCCTTTTCAGGTTTTCGACTTGCCGGGTGTACAGATTTTTTGTTTTCATCCCTTATTTTTGCCCGAACCCTTTTGGTTCTCCGGGAAGCCCTTATTTTTGCCTAGGCCAGTCAACCTAGAGAGTCTTTTATCATGCGTAGTATCTTTTCACTATGTCCGTATTGACAAGGTGAGGAAGGTCGTCACTGTCCATGGTGGTTAGAATCATGGCCCCACCCGAGAAAATATTTTTAATCACAAATGGCCCTTCGTATGTGGGAGTCCATTTGCCCCTGGGATCACCTTGCGGCAGTATGATGCGCTTGATAACTAGATCCCCGACTTGATACTCTTGGCGTCTGACTACTTTTGTTGAAAGCCTTGATCATTCGTTTTTGATACATTTGACCATGACAGACAATAGTAAGTCTCTTCTCATCGATCAGATTCAGTTGGTCAAGTTGACTCTAGATCCAGTCGTCTTCGTTCAAACCTGCATCCTTCATAATCCTCAGAGAAGGGATCTGGACCTCAATGGGCCGGACAACCTCCATGCCATATACCAGAGAGTAGGGTGTTTCCACTGTTGACGTCCGTGCTGAGGTATTGTACCCATGAAGAGCAAATGGCAACATCTCATGCCAGTCTTTGTATGTCATCGTCATCTTCTGTATAATCTTCTTGATGTTCTTGTTATCCGCTTCAACAACGCCATTCATCTTCGGCCGGTAGGGAGAAG